TTAATTGGTATTATTAATTGTAGGTGCTAATATTTTATATATTTTATTATTTGTGTTGAAGTTCGGATTGTCTTAGTTTTGGCCCATTAAATGACCTTTAAGGTCCTTTAGATATTGTCCCCTACCCTTAATTGTTCCCATCACATTCTACACACTTTCTTACTGAAACAAAAAGATGTTTCGGGGGCCAGGCTCGGTGGCTCATGTCTGTAATCCTAGGAGGCCAAGGCCAGTATATTGCCTGAGCTCAGGAGTTGGAGACCAGCCTGAGAGAGAGAAAGACCCCATCTCTACTAAAAAATAGCTGGGTGTTGTGGTGGGCACCTGTAATCACAGCTACTTGGGAGGCTGAGGCAAAAGAACCATTTGAGCCCAGGACTTTGAGGTTGCTGTGAGCTGTGACACCAGGGTACTCTACTGAGGGTGACAAAGCAAGACTATGTCTCAAAATAATAATGACGACTATGATGATGATGATGGAAGCATTTTACAGAAATCACATAAGTTTAACCTTCCCTGAATTTGTTCTTATCTATAAGAGGATCTACCTCACCTGTATTGGGAGGTAGACTAGAACAGGAAAAGCACAGGACTTTGAAGTGGACTAACTCTGCTTCAAAACCCTACCCTGCTACTAGCTGTGTGATCTTGTCTCAGTTATTTTACCTCTCAGCGGTTTGGCTTCCTGAGGCTCTGAGGAAGATAATAATACTAAGCCCATCCTTGGATCATCACAAAGACAAGAAATACTAGATACCAAGGGCAACTCCGGGCAAGGCCCTCAGTGCACTCCAGCCACGTCATACGGGAAGAGGCATTAGTAATCTCTCTCCAAATGGACTATGTACTATGTATTAAGAGATTCTTGTAATTATGAGATAACATTAATATTTAGCTCTATAATTATTTTGTAAGTATTATCCTACCAGACCAATGAAGTGGAAATTGTAGAGGAGAAAGAAGAAAACAAGTCTGTCTGTTAAGTCCATGGCCACAGGAGAACATCCATGAGGAATGCCCAACAAACATCTAACAATGACTTCTGCTTTTGACCCTGTATGCCACCTATATTATCTGAATTATTTGACAAGAAGAATGCTTTTATTACTTGTGTGATTTCATCGAGTTAAGTTCATTGTTCCCTCAGGTCCACTGAAACCGAAGATCAGGGGACTGAATAGATTGAGGTTTTGTCTTGGAACAAAGTAAAGAAAACTCTTTCTCCTTGATTTTTTTGGATTTTTTATTCCATATTCTAACCATCTATAGGTGATTACATAACAGCCATGACTTAGCCTAATCACCATGACTTGGCTGATTTTACTATTCAGACCTTCTGAGTCATGATGATTAGGAAAGCTCTCGTTTGCCCTGGTGTGGCCAAATAGCCTTACCTTCAGTTTAATGTCAAGCCAAGTAGTGTCTTTCTAAGACTCATGTGTTAATATCCCAACTCCCAGAACCTCAGAAAGTAACTTAATTTGGAGATAGGTGGCTTAGCGCCTGTGGCTCAAGTGGCTAAGGCTCTAGCCACATACACCTAAGGTGGCAGGTTCAAATCCAGCCCAGGCCCACCAAACAACATTGACAGCTGCAACCAAAAAATAGTCAGGCGTTGTGGCGGGCGCCTGTGGTCTCAGCTACTTGGGAGGCTGAGGCAGGAGACTTGCTTGAGCCCAGGAGTTGGAGGTTGCTGTG